GTTACAGTTTAAATGCCAAAAGCTGCTGAAGAATTAGAAACGAAGTCTAACATATCAGACATGTCTGTTTCTTAAATTTCTCTGCATGAGAACTTCATGTAGAGAAAACAGACTACAAAACTAGACATATTGATCTTCTAAAAGGTTTTATAATAATAGAAAACTTTTGTAACTAAATATTAAATAATAATTATCAGTAGATCATTTATTAAAGTATTTAAAAACATACACATTTAGCATAAAGATGTACTTGAAATATGAGGGAATTTAGACTGCTGTGTATAAGGGTGTGGAAGGAAAGATGAGTTACTATGCGTTTTACGAGTTAAGGTCTACCATTACGTAATTCAAGTGGCGTTTGTAACGAGTTGATATCAGGATTGTCTAATCGTGCGATTTTTTCATAATCACAAGGAGGCTTTTTTGGAGAATAGCTCTATCAGTGCTGTCTCATGCCTCTTGTGCATAAGCTATCCATAAACTGTAGTGCCTTCAAAGCTACAGCGGTGGGTTTGGCCTGTTGGTTCCAGCTTCTTTTGCCTATTTTTTTTCATTAATAGAGTTGTTGGTTTCTAGAAGTGGCTGGCGTTTTTGTACTGGTGAATTGCAACCTTATTCACGTCATTTATGCATATTGCAGGAATTTATTCGTGATAAATCGGCATCAGGACGACCGTCTGAAAATATTGGGAATTTACTTTAGGACTCGATTTCCTCTTTAGTTGAATCCTGCAACCATCTTGAATCATTTTGGAAAATTTCCCTTACATTTACAGTACAAAGTGTGACAAGCCATTACGTAGAAAATTGTAGGTTGTTGTCTCTTTTGCTTTTACTGCAACCACTGAAACACAAACACAACAATAGAAATTAAAAATTTTTAACATGTTGTGTGCCCTCTCGTACCCCCTTTTTGTAGTTGGTCATACTATGTGTAACATGTCTTATCAGTTTAAAATCATCTTGTTTATTATGTTGTTAACGGTAACACGAGGTAAGCCAAACTTCATTTCCGTTGGGTTTTAGGTTGAGGAGTTCTCTTTCGAACCAGTAGACTTCATTTCGCGGATTAGAGCATTGGTCCTGGATGGTTTGGAATATGGTTTCGGGGCTCGTTTCTGTCTCCTAAACACACCTCGGTGCAAGTTTTCCCGCTTCCACGGAGAACATTGAAAACTCTCTTCTTAGAATTTTTTCCCCTTCTGCATTGTTTGTCTCGCTTTGTGAATATATATCTTTTAAAACCGCATTCACACATTTCCTTAGCAACTAACAAAGTTTTGGAGACATTTTACAAGCCCAATCAGCACGTATATATGCGGGTCGGGTGCTTATATGTCATATGATCGTAGTTTAAAAAACATCCCAACAATCTCACTGAAATGGTAACACATTTACGTGCACTTGCATGACACATAAATTATCATCCGTATCAAAAGCTTTGATCCCAGAATTATCACTTTCAAGGCATATACAAGCTATAGGGGTCAAAATATTTCCTTGATCTTAGCAGTATGCATTGTAGGGTACAAACACACACACATACCTTGTTTTCAGGAGTACCTGTTATAAAGTATGTGGGTGAAGTGTAGAGTAACAAACACAAAAGTGACGTTGACTTGTTCCCATGGGCGAGCTGTGTTATTTTGATTTTATGTAAAAAATGACAGATTTCACAATATAAATATATGATATAACTACAATTATCTGTACAGTACACTGAGTGTGATGTGCTGCTTTGCTTTTTATATGTTGCGTGTCACGTTATAAAAAATAAACTAATATAATTTCTTATCTAGAATCGAACGTTGCTATTGGTTTAAAACAAATACTTTCATCTGTAGCTTTTAAACAGTTTTTGAATGTATTTCTTGAGATCTACCCCTTTAGCAGGGCCCGGCATGGCCAGGTGGTTAGGGCGCTCGACTCGCAATCTGAGGGTCGTGGGTTCGAAATCCCCGTCACACCAAACATGCTCGCCCTTTCAGCCGTGTGGGCGTTATAATGTTACAGTCAATCCCACTATTCGTTGGTAAAAGAGTAGCCCAAGAGTTGGCGGTTGGTGGTTATGACTAGCTGCCTTCCCTCTAGCCTTACACTGCTAAATTAGGGAAGGCTGGCGCAGATAGCCCTCGTGTAGCTGTGCGCTAAATTCAAAACAAACAAACATGACGAAATACATGCATTGAATGGAAATGTTCGTTCTTAGGTTGTAGATTAGGTTATTTTTATGCAAGAAAATAAACTCGTGCTTTGCGTACGATGTACGTACTAAAAATTATTTGTCTACTAAAACACGGTTTAGCAAAAGAAAAGGGGGATATAGAGTGGATTGAATCATCGACCTCCCGCATGTGAAGCGTGTGGTGTGCCATATGAGCCAAAGCCAAACATTTTTTTTCACATATGCAGCATTATTAAGTGAAATACTATATATATGAGAAGGGTATATGTTTTAAATAGATAAATCCTTTAACTAATTCTGTTGTTATGTTATGTAATTGGACAAAAATGGAAAAACCTACTAAGCAGAATATGTGTAAAAATATTGGAATGACTGCAAATGAAACATATCTCTGTACACGACATTTTTTATATAACTATATTGTCTTTTTGGACAATCGCCATCTTTGACTAAGATCTTGAGACTTTATCTTGATGAAACTCTTTATAAAGTGACTTTATAAAATAGTGAATTTTTAGTATCATGGTGTCAAGAAGTGTAAAAATAAACTATCTTCATTTGCCACTACTTCACTTATTTTTCTTTTTTCCTTCCATAATGGTATCAACACCTTTTTTTTTTATTATCCTCTAAAGTATTAGCAAAGCATCTGGTCCATCAACACCAATAACTTTAGGCCTAATTGTTGGTTTTAGGCCCTTGAATTGAGATAGTTGAAAACGTATAGTAGTTATAAAATAGTGAATTTTTGAAATTATGGTATGAAGCAATGTAAAAATCAACTGTTGTCATGTTTTCTTGTTGTTGTTTTTTGTAAATATTTTGTGAGTACATTTTTATAACTCGCATTTGTATATCATCTGAAACCTATATTTTCTTTCAAGTAATGTGTTAGCTGTAGGACATCGAAATGAATGAAGCTGTGGCAGTAACTATTAAGAGTAATTCTCACAGATTATACAGCGGGTAAACCCGTGCTTCATGTACGAAGTGTATTTAAACTTTAAGTCTAGTTGTCGATTCTTTAGGCGCATCTTAGAATTTGCATTGAGATGTAATGGTATTGCGTTATGTATAAGCCGCTGGAAAATAACGAATTAACTTAATGTGTTTCATTGCGTGTTTGTTTTTTGTTACTCAAGTAACTGTCTTTAAAGTTAATGTCATAAACGTCATAGTTTTGCACTCGTATAGAACAATGCATGTTCTACAATGTTTTACAATACGTAAAAGTACCACTGTACAATTAGCCAATAAGAATACTGGGTTTCCACTTGAGCTAGCATGCATACAAGCACGGACTAACTGACACACATAGTTCTTTTTATTACATAGATTATTTTTTACATTGATCACACACCTTTAATGCGCCAAATTGCTGATTGATATCACTTTGATACAGAGAAGTTTTAACAATTTTTATGCAACATACTTGAGACATTTTTTCTGCTCTACGTTTGTCAAGTTGTTTACATGTCTCTCTAACATTAAATCCTGGAGATGCTAGGACACAGAGCATACAAGAATAGGAAGGCTATTTTAAAAGTTATATTTTCTGTGTATGTCAACAATTCATATTTTACAATGTTAATAGGGAGTACACATGCGTTTTATTGATAACTAATTTTCGTCGACGTGGCGAACTGTTGGAAAAATAAAATGTGTGGGTTATTGTTATTGGTTGTTATTAACCACAAAGCTGACTACCTGTGCTCTGCCCACCACGGGTTTCGAAACCCTGTTTCTAGCAGTATAAGTCCGCAGCCATACCACTGGGAGGAAAATGTGTGAGAAAACTCGAAAGATGGATATAGGGAAGAAACAAAATAATGCTCTTGTTTTAAAACTGGGAAGACTTATAGCATTCGATAATTAGTATGTTTATTGAATTCATAAATCAAAACTGGAGATGGTGTCACTCATGTGTGTAGCTTTTGCTCATATAAACAGCGAGTATTACATGTGTATAGATGCAAAGGATTTTTGTGCTGTAGCCCACTTGAGCAATAGTACAGCTTCTTTCTGTCAAATTTGACGCTTGGAGCGTTGCGGTTAGCTTCATTACAATTTCTGATCAGGTGGAACTTTGTGTTTGCATCAGCCAGATCGGAATGTCAGGAGCACGAAGGATACGCGAAGTATTTTTTGATTATATTGAGATAAACAAATGCACATCGTTATGAACATAGCATATGGTACGTAATATTTTGCCAAGATGACGCATTTGTTTTGCATTGAATAACAGATTATGAATTAAATGATGTAATTACTGCATTCTTGTCGTCATCCAGCTAGCTACATTGTGAATATCAATTATGGTTGAAAAAACACTTTAGAAGTAGATGAAGATATGAGAGATCTTCTAATTTAACCCGGCCAACCCTAGAGTTGACCCCCCCCTCCCCCGACCTAATTTTTAGACCAAAAATCTGAAGAGATTTTTTGTTTACTTATTGTTATATTTTTACGTAAGAGATTTCTAAAAGGATGTGAAACAAACTCGGATAGAAAGAATCAAAACACAAAAAATTAAATATAATATATATACATTGTAGCATAAAATGTGTAATGCCTTTGATCAAACAAGCATTTGATCCAAAGTGTCCATCTTACAATTGATAATAAAAATTCTGTAACAGTTTACATCGAATTTTCATGAAATCCAATGAAAAAATAAGAGAGAAAAATAGTTATTATAGTTATTATAATCTCTATCGCATGGGTGATTAGGTATGAACGTAAAATGTTTACTATATTTGTTAAAATAAGCAGTTGATCAAAAGGCTATTCTAACACAATTTGTATTCCTTTTTAGGGACTCAATGACATCTAGGAAGGTCGGAGTATAACCTGTTTATAAGTCCGTTTAAAAGTGGATTTAACATAGAAGTTATGCGGAAATGAATTTAAACAAAAAACAGACAAGTAATATCCACGATCATGGACTTTATTTGTGAAGTACTGGCTGTCTGATGGAACCACATTTTGGTAGGATCTTTATCGACAGTATATTTAAAAATGCTCAATGTACTTGAATTCAATATTATTACTATTGTTATTGTTGTTTGTAGAGTTTTTTTTCTCCTTTTCTCTTTTACACTTAAAGAAATGTTTAAAACTGAAAAGCACTCACAGTTTACTCCCGTATCTTGAGGTTGCGAAATATTGATAAAATAAGATACAATATGTATAAATTTTAGATAATTTTGTTTATGAAAATAACACTATTTTCGTGTTCTCCTTTGACGTTTTTTAATCGCTAAGGTTTATATATACATATTTTTCTTATAATGTATAGGATTTACTTACATGAATGTAAACATAGTCATGAGGTAAGATAACAGATTAAACCAACAGTACTTTCTGTACTGGACAAAACCATTCCACATGAGTTTCCAATATTAAAAAATAGAGTCTGTTTTTCGGGATATAAAAGTCCCAGAAATAACAAAAGACTGCCTCCAGAATGTCTTCCCTTTTGATTGAATGTTATAATCGTGCAACACAGAACTTCCGAATCAAAAGATTAGCCCCTTCAGAAATATTGTTTCACAGAAATGCCAAATATAATTGAAAGACTGCCATTCAAGATGGTGCTGCTATAGATTGAATATCACGACCTTCTATCACAGAAGTTTCTTAAATAACCAACAAACTGAACCAAAAGTATCTATTGCGCTGGTTCAAGATTAAATATATTTTGCAGAAATCATTAGCCAAACAGCTACACACATGTTGGTTACAAATCAAACTGTACCACAGATCTACCAGAAAAAGCCAACATTCTGACACTGAATTAACCAGCGCTGATACCTCATTGAACGTTATGTATTATGGTGATTAGATATTACTTATTTAATGATATAATAAAATAATAACAATTAATCTTTTTTGAAAAAAATGCCCTTCCAGTTAATTTGCAATCTTAGATGGTATGGTGTAGAAAACAAAAATACCCTCATTGAATAAACACCCTAGCGATATACTCTAACGAAATCTTGGAGATAAACAACAGACTGACTTACCTACAGTATTTCTCGGACTCTTCCTTTTCTAATATACTGTAAGAACCCTCGAATTATACAATTTTATATGTATATGTATATATAAATATTTTAAAACAATGTGGCTCAAAGTAACATTTCTGTTTTGCACATTGTTTCTATTGAATTGTACACTACCGCCATCTATTGCAATCTAAAAGCAACATGAGCATTTTACTGTGGTTGGGGGAGGTTAAATTTAATTAATTTACAATCAAGTTGAGTGGTAATATTTAATAGAAGCTATTATTTAGTCAGTGTAACTGTTCTCTACCTAGGAGTAGTCATAATGTGTGTGTGCCTCTTCGTTTTTACATACGTTCCTTTGCATACGCTTACGTTTGTGCTTGTTTTATTTTCCCATACCTTTTTTTACACATGGTCTCAAAACTGATTAATTTCCAACAATTTTATAAGCTCTATGAAGTATTAATAAAAACTGACATAAAAAAAAAGAAATAAAAAGTTTAGTTATTCGACGTAGGTGTTAATATATGTGGTCTTGACTGCGATAAGCAGGAATGCCTCTGTGATATTTTGTTAAGCTACGTTGAACGCATCTTGCGCATGGTCACTGTGGCGACATCATCAACACAAAGTAACGACTAAGGCGACCTTTAGCAGAGTTCCGGTTTTTCACTGGTACAGGGGCCGGAAAGGGGAATGAGTAGAAGGAATTCCTTGTGCTCAACACCGTCAGAATTACTCTAGTGAGACTTAGACGTTGAGCACATGACGACAGGCGTGGAGAAGAAAAAGAGGAAAAAATACTGATGCATGAACTAAACGCACCTTTCTATAATCGTTTGACAAATCACGTCTATCTTAGACGTAATCAAAATACTGGTGTATGTGTTTCTAATCTACAAATGATTTAACTGTGTGTTCAAAGAATCTAAAACATTTATAGTATTTTTAATTTCAATGACTGGTTAATAACATGGAACTAGTTATATATATATATATATATATATATACTTTAGTTACAAACTACTAATTGTGACGTTGATAATAAAAAGAAAGGTACCGCTTTACACATTACTATGCCAAATCTTGAACTCCCCAAATGAATATTGTCATATGTTCGTATTGTAATCAAAAAATCTAGTCGACTAATGAAAACAAGAATGAAACAACTTTCAAAAGCTTACTTCGTTTTGTAAGCATAAAATAACACATACACTATAACTAAACATAATGTAATATTGAAACAAAATACAGTCAACTTGAAGTCACAAAATGAGCAGGAAACTAAAATTGAACTCAAAATTAGAAAAACATCAACAAAAAACTCACGGTGAATTATTAATCTTCAAATTAACATAAGATTAAACAAATCAGTCTCAAAACATATGACTGTTACCCTTTGACTTCTGATGCTTTTATAATTCAACTTATGAGCTCAATTTTCATAACACTTGGCTTGATATAATATTCGACAAAGAAATATACTTTTCTAGCTACATAGTGGTTAAATATTGTTCTTATTAAACTTGATACAATACAAGTAACAAATTCAGGCTTTGTTACCAGTATCTGAGTTTAGGGTAATAAAGTTCGCCAATAATAATAATAAAAGTCCTGGCTTGTGTGAACACTTCGGACATAAATATCTACCTTATTTTCTGCTTCCCTTCTTGAAACAGACACGATATTTCATCTGTACATTTAGTTTAGTGGAGCCATAAAATCTGTGAGTCTCTTCGAATTTTCTACATATAAATTGGCTTCATCAACTTCTTGTTCTTCAAGTAACAATTCTGGAATAACATCACTTAGAAATTTGAAAATTTTTGATGAGTCCAGTTTCTGATAGATAAAGAGACTGTTCAAACTGCTAACTTCTTGTGAGATTTCATAGTTTTTATTGCAACCTGGTATGACTATGAAACCTGATTAGTAAGATCAACTCCACCATATAACGGCTATGATCACAAATTGCCACTGGTTTGTCAGTACTTTGGTCTCTTCATCTTCTCCTCATAACTGTTCTATTGCTTTCATCATGATTGTAGCTAGCACATATACATCTTTACTCTTTAAGTTTCGAGAATAACAGCTTACGACAACAGAGGGATGCTGTTTTTCCAACATTCTACTTTTAGCTTATCCATCTCTGATTTCTGGAGCAGCCAGTTTTTGTGAGGCTTTTCTGTGGCATAGTTTTATCTCAGTGTTGCATTTAATGCACTTACACACATCATGTAACTTATAATTCCTATCATTGAACTGTTAACATATGAGACACAGATCAGCTCAGCCAGAACAAGGTGTTTACAAGCTGTAGGAAGTTATCATAGCCATACTCACTTACATCTTACTTGTCCCTGCACTGGGCAAAAAACATTACATTAGATCCACTAGATATGCACTTTTATCCAAACATCAGCTGATTGTTGCTTATTTGTGTAGCATGGCTTCACGACATATGATAAGTGCCCATCCCAGTCGGTTTTATAATGGTTAATAACCTTCCTAAGCATCCACATGACGACCTGCACTACCCATTCAGCCAAAGCTCAGACTGAGGATGATATATTTTCATCAGACGTAACGTTATATAAAACTCTGCAAACAAATAGCTATTAAAATTGGTCTTTTTATCCATATAGATCTTTCAAGGTGCTCCAAATCACATTATCCCTTGTTTGATCAACACATCAGTGATTGACTGCATTAACATGTTAACCAGTGGATACGTTTCAATTCCTTTGATGAAGTAACCAATAACAACCAGCACGTGAGGATTACCCAGTTTTATGAAGGAGGCCTACTATGTCTATGGCAATTATCTGCTGAAGGTTTTTCAGACATGGCTGGAGTTTCCTGCAGGCAGTGCATGTGGTGCAGTGTTTACACTATTTCTCAACAATGTTATGATAATCCAGTTCCAGTGTTTTATGTAAAATTTGCTTTAAAGACAGGAACGCAAGTTCACTTTTCTACACTCACACAAAGCACATACAACCTTAGTGAATTCAGAAAATTGTGTGACTACCTTGGAGCAATTAACTACTAACTGTCAGTAGTTCAGCACAAAACCTAAGAAGCTGTAGATTTGTTATTTGGTCTCAGATTGGGGGCCAGTCTTTGACCACTACGATCTTTACAGTATTAGTGGATCTATGTCTAGTATATTACTGAAAAACTCCACTTAAATATACAAGGGAAAACTTTTTTCATGATTTGAATTTCAATCCTGCAACCTTGATGCATTGGAATACTATTCGCATGTTCTGAGTCGCAGCTTGAAACATGTGACTAAGAACCAATATGTCATTCATATAGATGAGACACTTTTCTCATTCTAGTTCTTTTTGATGTAAGTCCTATTAACATCTTGAAAGGGCTAGTGTGTTACATAAGTTGAATAGTATGATATTGAATTCACGTAGTCTTCAAATCACGCTGTCATAGAAACAACCTCTTAAAATACATGATGCCCTTAAGACTCGCAATGATAGATGGGTCAACTCAACAGTCCTTCTATGAGCTTGTTAATGAGATTTTCTGTATGATTAAGAGATGACATGTTTTGGAATGAGCACCCATGCAACGTATTAAGATAATTTCCAAAAAAGTCATATTCACTTAAGGACTGCTTTGTTGTCCATATGGTTAAATCTGTGATACATCTTAGAGATAACTCTGTCCTAGTCATCACGTTCCTACTTATATAAATATATTATCGAACAACATACTGTCTAATCTCAGCATCTCTGATACCAAAGCCGTCTATTCCAAGGAAACTTGTGTAAACATTTTAGGGAATAATTCAGATAATCATTTACTATCACTAGCACACGGTAACCTTCTTGGCATCATTTTGACATAGTGGTGCATAAAGGTTCTTAATTCCACTGTGCCTACCACTGTGTATCTGGAACACTGTTCAAGGGAGGCTTACCTCATCCACCAAAAGTGTGAATACTTGTGCACCTCGAG